GTGTGTTCAAGGGCTGGATGTTAAAAAAATATTTCTGGGGTGCCTGACTGGAGGACACCCCCCCCCCCGCTCCATCTGAAAAAGAAATGGAAAAGACTCTGATAAATCGGATTTTGAACTATTGTTGTCGTCGTCTCCCGCAGGAGCGAAAATAATTTTGATTCCATACATCTAAAAGTCACCCGTGTGCAGGAGAGACTGTTAGAAGTCCTCGACTGTTAACGTGAGAAAGAGACAAAGGCTGTAAAAAACTTTAAAATGCTACTGGAGTGGAGAGGAGAGGAAGCAGAAGTTGCCGGTATAAGTGACATTTCCGGCTAGACGTTTGGGAACCTACCTGTTGGAGGAGGGAAAGATACTGGTTCTCTTTCCTAGATTGGAGATGTTGATGTTCGCCCAGGTCACTCCTATGGGCAGAAATCTTAATTATATTTATTTTCCAACTTAGGGCATCTTTCTTTTCCAGCATTTAAAAACATTACACCATTCCTACAGACAATACAAAATTATCCCCTGCAATAATATTAACACTGTGTCACAATTTTCTCTGTTCTCCATTTACTATTTCTGTACTCAGTGCCCTGGCACTTCAGAAAAAATATCTCTAGTAGGTTATAGTTTCTATATCCGGCACTGGACTATGTTGTTTCCTGTATTCCAGACTTTTTAAGGAAGAAAATCACTCCTCAAAGACTGCCTTTGTCCATTCTGTTATATAGGAACACTTTGTCAGATGATGCTGTTTCTCCTTCTCTCTCTCTCTTTGTAAAGAAATCTGGAAAGACTGACTGTATTCAAACCGATTTTCACAAAGCTTCATATCTTAATTTTACTCCCTCAATTATTTTTATATTAAGTACTTTTGTTTTGAACAATTAGTAATGGTAGATTTGCCATTTAAGGATATATACTGAAATTTTGATTATTTTGATTTTTGATTTGAAAATTTGATTACTGCCATCCTTTTTGCTTTTTGTTCTCTGTGTGTTTTTCAGTTTAAAGAATCAACATGTAATATTATTAAGATTTCAAAAATTGTACCTATATAGCTATCATGTTATTCTGTATCAGAAAATCTAGCTTTCATTGTAACATTTAGGTTCTAATTCTATCAAAATTGCTCTGTCTTTGCTATGCCTTTTGTAATCCCGTTTTTCTCTCTTTGACTCCATTCCTTGAAATTAGCCTTTTCTCTATATATATACATTATGCACTATATTTTATTCATTCTGGTTTTTTTCTAGCAATCATATGTGTTTTTCACATCTAGATCCTTCATCATTACACCCAACATTATCTTTAATACTTCCCATCAATATCAAACATATGGAGTTATCCATATGTTTCTGTAACACTTTGCAACATACAGTAATTTATTCTGCTCCAAACAGGTACCAAATAATCTTTCATTGTATCTTTTTTCGGTTCATTCCACTAGGTGATTAATCTTTCTTCTAGTTTTTAATATAGTACTTAATACTTCCTTTTGTTGTAGTTCTGTTTGCACTCTCTTTTCACTTTTCTTCCATGTCCATTTTTTCTCAAGATCTGCTCTGGACCCTACAAGAAATGGTCTCGTCAGAAAATCTAATCACCCTTATTATTTCACTAATTCACTTAATTTTTCATCATAAAAAATCAAATCAATCATGTGTATATATATGTGTGTGTGTGTGTGTATTAATTTCTTTGTTGTATGTACACCTGAATAGATTTATGCTCTATGTGAGCATAATACCAAATAGTAACAATTCTCATTTACTCTTTGATCACTGAACGGCCCAATCATTTTTTTTGTACTCTTTAATCTCATTCTCCCTGCCCCACATCCATTTTTGTCACTTAACAGAATAATTGTTTCCCCTGTATAATGTAAAATAAACATTCACTTCTGGTTCTTCCATTATAATTCGCTGGAACATACCATGCAAATATCACCAGTGGATTCCTGCATTAATATGCACCCAAAACAACCCAGACAACACCAATACATACTTCTCTAACATATGGTTTAGTCCTTTCATTTATAATTAAACTTATATCTTAACTTCTGTGCTGTCTTCATTAGCTCAGCTGCATGAGATCAGACCACCTTCATTCAGCTCTATTGCATCCTTCCTCTTTTTCTTATCTTGACAATCATGCAACAGATACATGTTCTTTACTATTTACTCTTCTTACATTCAAAGCCTTCTTGGTTGTCACATCCTGGCCCTACCCCCTGCTTTGGGATAGTAGTTTGGAAGTTACTGCTACCATCATGAGGTGCCTCACCTGGCATTCTTCACCTAGCCTTCATTGTGAGAGACATAGGGCTCCCTATGCTGCCTTTCCGGTGATTAAATGTAAAAAAAAAGAGGAAGAAAAATAATGCAGCTTCCTGATCATGTCACTAGAGCATTCTTCTCTTTCTTGGGAGATAGATCAGTCTCACAAGATAAAATGAAACTTTATGTAAAACAAGAAAAAAAAATTTACTCTTTAAATATTCAAAATGCAGACTTGCAGACATTCAGTAGGGAAGGTGTTCAAGTACAGAGTTGTTCAGAAAAGATCTGTAGCTTGACTTTAAAAAAAAAAATTACAAAAGAAAATGTAATGCTACCAGCAGATCACAAGATGTCACAGTTCTATTACAAATAGCTCATTACTGCTCCAAAAAGAAAAAAGAAATGAGACAAGGATTTCATTAGGATTTTAAAGTAAATATCCTAATATCCTCATGCAGATCTTGAGGTATGCTCCAAGTCTAAAATAAAACACAATTTCCTAATTTTTACAGAGAAATAAATACAATTTATACCATTCATTAAAAAAAGAAAATCTAACACAATTCCTACTAGGCTTTACTTTTTTTTCCAGAAATAATGCCACCTGAAGCATTATTTCTCCTGCTTCAATTTTCCTGGACTTACTGCAAATTTCAGTAAGTTAATTCTAGGTTTGGTGGGGATATAGAAAGGTTCCTAGCCTCAGTTCACAGCTTCTGTAGTTCTGCTCACAGATTTAAAACCAGGTTCCCCCCTCTGTATTCAAGAGAGTGATGGGCTGGAATAATCTGACTTGTATATTTTACATGTGTATAAACAAATGAATCCCTTTGAATTCACTATGACTTACTTTCAGATGAGTATGCATGTATGATTGCTGTACAAATATAAATTGGTTGTAAGATGTACAATGGGATCTATTCTAACAAAATAAAATATTGTTTTTTACAGTTTGAGTGAATCTATATAAACATGTCTAAGGTAAGGAGTGCCTTTGTTAATGAGTATTTGTTGATTTCTACATATATCGTGTACAAAAATTGTAGTTGATACTCTTATAATTTCATTATTTTAGAGCATTTGAATTGTATTAGTATGAACACATGTAGATTTCTATATTTTAATTAATATTTATGCAAGAAAATATATTGGAAAACTAATTTCTCATCTTGTGGCTACTCATGTTCATGTATGTATTTATTTTATATTGTTACAGCCTACACTAATTTTGTAGGCTGGCAATAAAAGAAATGTATTTGCTCATGCAATAAAGGAAAATCTTCTAGTTTAAGGAAAACAATTTTTTAAAATTAATTAGCTTTGCAAGTGATAAGTGTATAAAAATAATGTGATTGGTATTACGCTAATGAAAATATTTAATAATAGTTGAATTCTTTAGGGAGATGATTGTTAGCAGATAAAAATGAGAAAACAAATGCTTTCTTCCCCATTTTTTTTGTGTGATAATTTTGATATAGTTCCAATTAAACTATTTTTTACATTGGATCTGCATTGTGAAGCAGTTACGCCAGATTATTAATTTTAGGAGCTCATTTTACTTTGATAAATAAATTCAGCATTTTTATCCCTGTATTTAA